TTTATTGGGGTGACACTGGTTAACAAAATTATACAGGTTTGAGGTGCACAACTCTAAAATGCACAGCGCCGTGTGCACTGTATTGTGTTTCACCACCCAAGTCAATCAGTCTCATTTCTTATTGTAAAAAGAGTACACATCTCACAGTGTTGATAGGAGGCAGAAAAAATTTATATAAAAGATAGACTTGGTACAATATTTGATATATAGTTATTTGTTTTCAAAGAGCACATCATGTTCTTATCATCAAATCAAATCTTCCTTCCTCATTGGAAATAAACTCTTAAATTGCGTATCTGCACAAGTAAACTTCTCCGATAGTAACATATGAACAAATCCTTTTCTGAACCAAATGGAGACTACAAGGGTTAAAAATTAAGCTTCAACAAAATTTAAGATGATAATTTTCCCTAGAAATCTATAAAATAATCCTAAAAATTTGGCTTCATTCTAGAAAATAAGAACCTGATACTGTTTTGTAAATATTTCATCAACAAGAAAAGCAAATTTTGAAAAATGTTCCTTTTGGAGAAACCAAGACAACTCCTAAAGAGAACATCTCCAGTTCAATTTCACAGTATAATCAGTGATGGAGAACTTTTGTGTTTGTTTTATTTCTATATAAGGGATATAATATATATATAAATGGTTTCAGCTAAAACTTAATGATATATCTATATTCTTTCTTTTTAATTCATGGACCTAACAATTTTTTTCCATGCCAAATGCATAGAATTTGTGTTGGATACTAAGTCAAAAGAAATTCGGATAGTAAGAGAAAATATTCATCCCATTATATTTGTTAACTGGAAAAAATGTGGAAATAATCTAAATACCCAATAGGAAGAGACTAAGAAAATAAATTGTTACATGTCTGTCATGTAATATCTGAGTCATTAAAAATGATAACATGTTTTTCTCATGTATCTTTGTCACCTTGTTGCCAGCACTGTATGACACATTTTAAGTGATCAATAACTGTTCGTGGAATTATCTGAAAAAAAAATGATGTTGTTTTATTTATACATATCGGTTTGAAAAGACCTCCACAACATACCATTAATAGGAAAAAATATATTACAAAGAAACCCACATGTAACATGATCTCACTAATATGAAATTATGTAAAATTCTTGGAAGGTTTTCATAAAACAGTGGTGAGGTACCACATGAATTTTACGCTCTTCTTTTTTTCTGTAAATTGATTTTCTTTTACAGTAAGAATGTTTTATCTTGAAGGATGACAAAGTTACCTATATTTAGAAAAATGGTAAAGTATTTAATTGCAAAAAAAGATTGTTTTGTGACAGAGCATACACAATTATTTGCAGTATGATTGCGTTCTTATATTTTAAAAAATCTATATGTTTAAAAAAAAGACTGGCAGGATACATACTAACATGTTAACAATAGTAATATCTGGTAAGGTAATAGGTAGCTTTAATTTTTTTTAAAGACTAATAAAAGATTGAACTGAATTTTAAGTGCAAATTTAAAGAAGATTTTAAAACCTGGAGATGAAAAGTACAGAAACTGAACAAATATAATTTAAAAAACTTATTATAAAGCACTTGTATTCATCAGGCCACATCATGTCCCAAGCGTTTCTAATGAATAGAGAGTCTCTCTCATTAGCACATAAAAGGTCTGAAATATTAATGTTAAACAGTTCTACTACCTTCCTCCTGCTAAAAGCGAAATTGGAGGAGACATACAATGTGGATTAAGGACAGAAGTAGGTGTCAGTGGCTCAGGTCTTAAATCTTTTCTGCACTAGTAATTACCTTTCTCTGAGCAAATCATAATTTTTCATTATCCTAGTTTATTGATTTGGAAAAAGAGGAGTTGAAATACCAACTTCTTCATAGGGCTGCTGTGAAAAGTCACATATTAAGTACTTTGAAAACACTCAGCCAGAGCAACTCACTTTATCGTGGGTGCTTTAATAGAATGTGGTTAAGTATTTTAATATCCTTACATTCCATGTTAAAAACATGGGGGTTAACCCACTTGTTCAATTTTACATTCTATCTCCCTGTCATTTGTGCATGTGATGTTACGCAGCTGATGTGTATATTGTTTGTACCTGCCCATCATCTACTTCCCCACTTCCTCTGTTCTTCTTTATAGGCAGTCTCTGCCCAATGAACTGCTTTGCCTTCCCTTGACCAAGGTGTTAGCAGGGACCCAAGCTGGACCCCTCTTCCCAGAGGCATGGGAAGGAGCGGAGGGCCCAGGATGCCAGGAGCAGATTTACCCCAATAGTTGCTGCCCCAAGGCCCCTTTCTAAGGCCTGAGCTCTTCCAAAATTCCTTCAATTCTCCAAGTTACCCCATACTCTTTATAAATTCCTTTACTGCTTAGGTTAGTCACAGTTGCTTTATGTTCCTTAGAACCAAAAAAGAGTAGCTTATATAAGGAGCCTATATAACATCTGCCTGGAGGGAAAGGGACTAAAAATTGAGTCCTTAGCATAATATAGAAGCACGCAGACACAGAGGACCGTCAGGGATAGAGCCTTTTCCGTTGGCTTGCATGCAGCAGGATGAGCTCTTGGCCTCCCTGGCACTCCCTCCCTGGGCATCACAAGACAGTAATTCTTATGTGAGGCTCTTATTCTCAGTACCTAAGGACCAGACTTAGGCTGTCCAATGTGGTAGCCACATATGGCTATTTAAATTAATGAAATTTACATACAGTTAAAAATTCAGTTATCTGTCATAATAGCCAATTTTTTAAAATTTTTAATTTAATCTTTGTTGTATTTTTCCATGACCATTTAGTGCCCTTCCACCCCCTCCCCCCAGCAATCACCACACTGCTGTCCATGCCCATGAGTCCTTTTTCCTTTCTGCTCAATACAATTTCAAGGCTAGTGGCTCCTGGGCTAGCAAAGATACGGAGCATTCCATCACTGCAGGATGTTCTATTGGGCATTTCATTTATTTTTTTTCAAGAAGTTAGGTCTACTTTGGTTTTAACCACCTCAATTGTACAATACATTGTCAAGAAATGTTCTTACTTGGTAATTAAAGGATAAGCTTTTAAAAAAATTTCTGAAGGAAAAAAACCTGCCACACCCCAGGCTTGGAATTCTAGGACCTGGGTGAGTCATGGCTCTGTCACTTGCCTTGGGCATGTCACTCCATTTTTTTGACCTTCAAAATTCTCATTCGTGGAATAAAGCTAATATTAACCCAATAGACTCCTGTAAGGATAAGTGGTATAATACAGGTCAATGCTTTTAGCATGGTGCCTGGTGCATAGAGAATTGATTGCAAATAGAACAAGGAAGAGAATCTAGGTTCCTCCAGGACCAGGTGTGAGGAAGGTGGTCTGAGCGCACCAGGTGGTATAGCTGACGCCCAGCTACCTTGGGCTCCCTCCTTCTATTGAGAAAAGAATTAAGATTAGATATGCAGACTTCTCGAGTCTATTGTTCACTTCCCTGTCTCCTCCTCCCTACCTGGGATAGCAAGGACCTCACTCTAGGAGTTTTTATTTTAAAAACAGAGGTCAGTGATAACAAGTGTTCTCCCGCTGCTCTGAAGGAGAACAAACTAATAAATGAACAAATCAGAATTTAAAAAACCAACCAAACAACCAACCAACCAACAATAATAAGCTTAGTGTCTGGCCCTGCAGTTGTAAAGATGGTATGACTTGGTCCGCTGTACCCTCACTCTTCTTTTGGTTCTGTTTGCCTTTAGCTGATCAATGTGCTGTTAAAAAAATTAGTGTAAACTCAATGGTGGCTTTTGTTTTTCCTTTCAACAAATCTCAAAGATCTAATAATGACTACCATGTATGGAGTTAAAAGAGCACAGAGAGATCCTGAATGTGCTAATTTGACTTGAGAAAAACTGAATATGAGCCAGAAAAAATATATAATATATGTTAGTCTCATTAAGCTGTCTTCACTTAGATAGTTCCCAGGCAAATAAACATCCAAATCTCACTCTTGCAGCTCCCTCTGAATAACGCATTCAACTCAAATCTCCTATCCTCATGCATGCTATTTATTTCAAAGAGAATGATGGGTGAACAAGAAAATGAGAATCAGGTAGGGCAATTATAATTCTGAAAAAGGAAATCATGCCCAACATTGATTGGATTGCCCAGAAAAAAAGAAAGCTATTCTCCTCCAATATATTTAACTGTTCACAAAAGGCCAAAGTGTTTTGAGCTCTAAATTTTTGTTGCTTTAAAAATACAGCAGAATTGGAAAATATACTTTTGCATGCCCCTAAATTTGAGGATGTGACTCATTAATAAGATTTACTTCTTTTATTCAACTTACAGCTCCTGAAGACTCCCTCGGTGCCAGACATGGTTTACCAAGTGGTCAATTCAACAGCTTCTGAAAAGCTGCCCAAAACAAACACAGCTTTCAAACTGCCGAGAAGAGCTGCCATTAGAATTTCAAGTTTTGTACCTTTTATTCAAGTAAATGTGATGACAATAAAAATAGCCATGAAGGAATAAATGTCTGTATCTGGAGGAGAGGATGGACTAGGACAAATGTAAAAGAAAAGCCACCCCACAATAATACTTTGTCTTTATCCCCATGGGTTAGTGGTCTGATTAACACTCTAGCTTAGAGGAGGAACACAAGCAGCTGCAAGCCAACATGCCAGGTATCCTGAGGGAGGTACAAAATCCGGCTCCCAGGTTAGAGAACTATCTCTAAAAATACTCCCTAAATTTCTTTAGCCTACTGCCCAGGTATGTATATATCTAACCAGTATTACCTTCCTGAGGTGACTTGGCTCACATTTCTTTACACAGGTAATGAGGAAGAAAGCCTCAAACTTATGGGACAGCAGAATCATGCCAAGGAGAGCTGAGGGCTCTGCTGGGGAAAACCACACATGTGTCAGCTAGGCGGGGCAGGCGCAGCTCTGCGCTGTGACTTACCTTCAGAGGATGGCACAGGATAATGGCTGTGTACATGGGGGGTGTCTTCAGGGGAAGAGAGACTTTTCACAACAAAAGGATATTGGGCCACCAGGGCTGGGCAAAGCTGGGTATTTGGCATAAAAACACAGTGCATCATAACAAAGTCATTTAAAACTGAATCTGCAGGGGGAAGAAAATGCAAAGCAGAAAAGGAGATTAGGTTCTCATAGAAATCTTTCGGAGAGCAAAAGGATGTACTCATTGGTTCTTGACCAATGTTGGCTTGGAGTATTGTCGTTTTACTGTACATAGAAGCACTGCATATACAAAGAACTTCATACATATGTATGTGTATTTAAAGAGCCACCCATGGATAGTACCATGTGTCCTGAAAACCATGGTCATTTCTTTTTCAACTTTACACTGTATGTCTTTTGTCAATATCACTTTTTTCTTTATCTCTTTTTCACCTGTTATTTCCAGAGGGAGCAATGGGGGATGAGAAGATGATGGAATGATAGCAAAAGGAGGTGGTAAGAGCAGAGAGTTCGTGGGACACAAGAGCAGGGAAAAAAGCAGAAAAGATTAAGGCCGGGCGCCGCAGCCGAAGTAAAACAAAGCTCTCCAGTAAATTAAAATGGTGCTGTCCTATATTTGAACTGTTTGTAGGTAGGTAAGCAGGAGGACAGCAAAGGAAATAAGGCAAGTCCCAAAGACAAGCTCCATTTGCTTCATTCTGAACGCATGCTGGTTCTTCATTGCAAGGACAACACCATCCAGTCAGCGCCGGTGGGGAAGCTTGCGAAGAAGACAGACCTAAGAGCCTATGGAATACACCTGTTGAAACTTGGCATCCAAGGTGATACGCGGGTTTTTAATTAAAAAACGAACTACATTGGCTGAGATTTGTGAAACGGATATAACTTTTCAAACAGAAAAGGGTGAGAAACATGAAAATTTCACCTATGTGAATTAGATAAACATTAACATCTATGCTTTAAATTAACTTATATTGGCAAAGTTGGAATTAGTCATTAAGGGTTTAACCATTATATTCATTTTAAAAAATCAAGATCTAGTTGACATGCAACGTTATGGAAGTTTAAGATGTATAATGTGTTGATTGAATGCATTTACATATTGCAATGTCATTACCACTGTGGCATTAGCAAACACCTTTACCATGTCGCATAATACCATACACTCATGTAAATATAAGGGGGAAGCGTGACTCCAAGCTGTCATCCTGTCATCACTCAACGGTACCGGTCATCTCAGCCCCCTTATACTGAACCAGAGATGCAGCGAAGGTGCCCGACAGAGGTTGTATGGAAGGTTTTTTAAGTACAAAAGGACTTTGGCTTGTCAGAGTTTAACAACTAGCGTCTCCTTTATATGTTTTAGATATTCTCTGCGGATAGGGTGGGTGATGCTTGCTTGTAAGGCTCCCAGAGGCCTTTGCTATACATTAGTTTACATTTTGTTAAAGCAGAGATTTCAGTAGGGGACTCCAAGTGTGGGGACCTAATCACTTTGTATGGCCGCTACCCAGCACCCACATTTCATCACAGCTTCCTTGTTCACTGCTTATGTAAAATAACTCTTTCTGAATATTGTTGAGAACTATCATTTCCTTCTAGAAAGTGATTTCCCAAGTCACTCAATGACTAATGCTGGTCATAGAAGTTCAAAGTCTAGGAAAGTAATAGGTCTAAGGCACAACAAACATATTTCTATAAATTAAGAAAATGTAGCCCTGGCTGCTGTGGCTCAGTGGATTGAGCGCCAGACTACAAAACAAAGGGTCACCAGTTCGATTCCCAGGCAGGGCACATGCCTGGGTTGCAGGCCAGGTCTCCTGTAGGGGGTGCATGAGAGGCAAACATACATTGATTTTCCTCTCCTTCTCTTTCTCTCTCTCTTCCCCCTCTCTCTAAAAAGAAATAAATGAAATCTTTAAAAAAGAAAAAGAAAATGTACTGATCAGCCAGAGGTGCCCATTTCTGTGCTGGGAACCAGTTTCACTATTAACTCTGATGTTTCTCACTGTATTTTAAATTTACAAATGCCAAGGGTTTCCCACTTCACTGCACCCTTTAGTTTCTTATCCTAGGCTTCTTACCACTTTCTCCTTGCTCAGATACCTTCAGCCACTCCCCAGTGCTTAGCTTTGCATTTAAGATCCTCCAAGATCTGCAGTCAAATTCTTAGACCTTGCCTACTATGTATACAATAGCCCAGCAAAACCAAGCTACCCGATCTCCTTTGAACTCTTCTGTGTCAGTTCTAATGCTGTACCTCAGTATGAAAAGCTGTGTCCCCAGTCTCCAGTTACTAGACACCAGCCTTTTATCAGGGCCACCTCTAAGACCACATTCTCCATGACACTTTGTCTGGTCCCCTCAGCTAGTCAGGGCTCATAAAGCACTGACCACGTTATGCTTTATGTTCACGCTATCAGCATGTTCCTTTCTGTCCTCTAGTAGGTTATAAACTTCCTGAGGACGGGAGAGCAATTTCTTGTTCACAGTGCCTAGTCCAGAGCATCCCTCTTAGTGCGTGCCCAAGAAAATATTCAACAAATACTGAACCAAAAATAACTGCCCTGGAGCCAGAGATCCTGGGTTTTATAACAACTACTCCCCAATTAATTCGCTATAAAAAGGAATATCTCAGATAATCTACTTATAAAAGGAGAAACTGGAATGAAGAGCTAAAATAAGAAGTAAATCAGTGCTAAGCTACTTTTTAGGAGGTATATAAAAATAATAACCTCACCTTAAGTGTACTGCAAAGTTGATGGAAATGGATTTTGAACTACCATTAGGTTTTTTAGATAAATCTTTGAACTTCTTTTAGTGAGAAATCTTCTTCCATGGACCTCAGTGTGCTTAAAATATTAACCTTTTATTCTGAGTGACAGGCCAGTAACATTGGATTATTTTTTAAAAAATTGAACGTAGTCTGTTCCAAAGTTACATACAAGATAGCTCCTAAGTGGAATTAAAGCATAACTCTGAACACTCCCTTCACTGGTGAGATTCCCCTCACTCACCCTCACATCTCTGTGTTTTAGTTAGTAAAACTGGTTCACCATAAGGCAGTATTATGCGTTGAATCGTGTTCTTGCGAAAAGACATGTTGAAGTCCTAATCCCCAACACCTCAATATGACCTTAGTTGGAAATAAGGTCTTTGTAGGTGTTATCAAGGTCAGATGTGGTCATTAATGTGGGCCCTAATCCAATATGACTGGTGTCCTCATAAAAAGAGAAAATTTGGAAACAAGGGCAGATGCACAGAAGAAAGACAATGTGAGGAGGCAGAGGGAGAACATGTGAACATGAAGGCAGAAATTGGGGTGATTCATTGATGAGCCAAGGAACACCAAAGATTCTGGCAAAACACCAGAAGCCAGGAGAGAGGCAACAGATTCCCCCTCAGACTTCAGAAGGAACCAGCCCTGCCAACATCTTGATCTCAGACTTCTAGACCCCAGTACTGTAAGGCAATACATTTCTGCAGTTTAAGCCATGCAGTCTGAGGTATTTTGTTACAGCAGCCCTAGCAAACTAATACAGGTGGTGTTTAGTCATGCTTTGGGGCAGCCCAAGAATCTACAGCCATATCTTAACGCCCGCTGGAACAAGATTGTGCCTCTTGTGTAGGCAGCCGCAGGTCCTTTATGGGAGCAGCTAGAATTAAAAGGATAATAGATGTTTATAAAGGTGAACTTAAATGATAACTTAAGAGGTACCTATGGAAGGCTCATCCTAATGGGTAATGAATGAGACTGAGCCATTGTCAAGGGACAGCCAGAAATGGAGGGGGCAAAGGAAGGTCAGAAAGATTGCTCCCTGGGTGGGCCAAGCAGGGGATGCTCTTGGAATGTGAATATACATAACCTCCTTCTAAAACGGTTCAGGCTACACAAGCTGAGAATTCAGGATTTTCCTACAGTGCTCTGCATGGATTTAATGTACACACGCTGTTCTAGGTATTTACCTGTTGCTTCATTTAAAGCTGGCTCAAGGCGTATAGTTTCTAGAAAATGCTCTAAAATTTTTTCAGGTGTTCCCGACATGACAGTATACCTGGATTAAAAAAAAATAAAATAAAATCATCATTAGCATTTCAAAAATGGGCAAATCATTAATGAATAACGCTTCACATAGCTGAGATTTTTTTTTTTTTAAGGTCCAAAGAAACCATTTTGACTTAACTTATGGCCCGTACTGTCCTTTAGTAAGAGAGACCATGCACCCTGCCAAAGTCACATAGGAAGACAATGGGAAAAACACAAATTGCAGTAGTTACTAAAATGTGACTCTTTTCCCTATATGGAACTAAAGTAAATTTCTTGGAGAGTTGCAGCCGGCTGGGAACTGAGCAACTCCAGCCTGTTCCAAGGGGAATGAAAAGAAACATGTGGATCCCAGGGCAGTTCAGGTCAGGCACGGGGAGCTGGGCAGGGGAACCGACAGTAAACTAGGTTATCCATATATGGGTGACTTGTAGCAAAATTTCAGTCCCACACTGGATTCCCCTGCCTATTTCTGTAATGCTCTGTCTTTCCCAACTGTACACTGGCATGTGCTTTGGAAATATGCTAAGAATAAAACAGGAGAAGAAAAGAGCAAACACCAATGAGCAAACAAGCAAACTGCAATAGTACCTGCATAGAAATAAATCAGAAACAGAAAATTTATATAATTTATTTCAATGTCAAATATATATTATTGGGGGGATTAGTCATTATTTCAGATGATCCATCCATGCTGCTCTTTAATCAACACAGAAGGATTTATTTTTTAAACTGAATGTGGGTCATTTCAAAGTCACAGTCAAGATAGTAATAAGACAGTGAATGAAAACTAGAGACAAAATACATTAAGCTAATATGGGAGCTCCTTTTCCAAAACTCAGACTTTGCTTTTCTGCTTGGCACTTCACCTAAAGCAAAATGATGGGGAAGGAAAGCAACCATGAGAATAAAATTCCCTTATGTTCAGAAAGCTGGGTTCTCTTCTAGGAGAATCCAGACTTCTTTGTCTCCTCATTGATACTATCTCTTTGCTTGTTTGAGACCTTGGAGGAGGTGCCCCAAGATCCCAAGAATATCCCTAACATTAAATCTCAGGGCCTTAACCTTATGCCGGAGGCAGGGAAGAGGAGGCAATTCAACATGTGACCCTCTGCATGTGAAAATGGAGAGGGAGAGTGCGTGAAGCAACTCTGGTGTTGAGTGAAGTAACAAGTGCAGTCTACCTGGAAGGCAACCACTAGCAACTGTTGTGTGTACACATCACATATGTATGCGTGCACGCAGGACCAAAAGGAAGCTGAGGAGTTAAATTTTTGAGGAAACCTGCTTTGGAGACGAGGGAAGAAAAAGGAGAATAAAAAAAAAATACTTTACTCTGAAAAGCATGACCCCTTTCTCAAACTAAATAAGGTAGAAGACAATGGTTTTCCCTCTCACAGGCAACGAATAGTTGAGAAAAAGAGAGGGCATAGCTAGTCATGACTTGCAACACTTAAATGGAGAAAATTGCTGAGTTCATTCAGTAATTCCTGAAATTCGCAATTCTTTAATAGTGCTCAGCAGATGCTCTGGAAAGGGAACAGCATCTGGCCACATAATAAGGAATTGAGGTTGGAGAGGGCACTCGACATCTGTCGAATGTTTGCTGTGCCCCAGACAACTCAGTGGGCCCTGAACAATGTCCTCCTGTTCACTCCTGCTAGTTAAATATTATCTTTATTCTGCAGGTGGAGAACTGCTCTGTAAGGGGAGGCATCAGGCCCACGGTCACACAGTCAGTAAATGTGAGGTCTCCGCTGTGAGCCCAGGTCTGCCTTCAGAGCACGAGCATGACCCTCATGCCGCTGCTCAGCCTTCTGTGCTCCAAGACCTTCTGAGCAGAGCTACCTCTGGATACTTGCAGTTCATATTGAGCAGGAAGTCTGCTCTGCAAAGGAAAACCCCCTCTGAAGGGCATTTGTTTGCTTGTTCCTGAAAAGTTTTATTTAAATTAGTGCATCGATATATTACATTAAAAACGTATTTACCTCAGCATTGGGCAGCCACTGCTAATGGGCTACATGACTGATAACATCAGATTGGACTTGGATTCCTTGTCAAAAGTGTCACTCTGATAGAAGGTTGGCTTCACATTCTTGTGTTCTTTGTTTGGACATTCCTTAGCTAGGATATTATGTCTGGTCACAAAGAATAAAGACCAGGGTGGCAAGCCAAGTATCCTATCATTTTATTAAGAGAAGTGGTCTCTGTAGCCTGGGCCGACCTGGTCAGTCTGACACCAGGGGATCTTTCTTTTGCTACCAACGGCTCCCTCTAGTGGTACAGCTGCCGTAGTTGCCTTACCTATCTTACCCTCTGCCTCTTCTCAGTGCCACAGGGCTGTTCGGGTGCTGACATTCTTTCACTGTAGGAAACTCTGAAGAGGCAGGGCCAGGGAGCTGCTGGCCAGCGCAGCCCTCTGTGACCTTGCAGCAGAGTTTGGCTGGAACATCATGTTAGTGCTTTGTTTCAGGCTGGATACTGCCAGGCGCCTACTGCTTAACCTCCATTTCAATGAGGAACTTGAAGACCACAGGGCGTGACTCTTTTCAGATTAGTGCAGGAAGGGGCTACTTTAGTCCAAGTGCAGGAGAACCCGGTTGGCTACATTATCCAAGTGGTGGGGTTTTAAGCCTGTGACAGAAAATCTTTTCCTAACATCAAGTCTGGGAATGATGTTAGGAAAAGAGACACTTCCATTTGTATCAAGAACAATAAAAAGAAGCGGTGGGTGGCGGGGCGGGGGGAGGAGGGGAGGCCTGAAAGAGGCCATCTTTCTGCAAACAGGATGGAGTTAAGTAGGGTGGTTGGTCTAAGTAAAGGCAACACAGTACGGAAAACAGGAAGAGTCATTTGAAATTCTTTCTTTCTGACTAAAACCACATAACCACAGAGCAGAAGGCACCACAATGATACAGTTTTCAGGGCTCCATAAATTTTATAAATCGTGAGCAATGCTGTCTTGAATTGACATTTTTACTATCACACTCATAGCTGAGTGACTTGGGCAGAGTCAGGCAGTTTTGAAACTATTCTGGATTTCTCAGGGGAAAAATGAATTGGAAAAATAATACTATCAGCACTAACAGTGACCCTCTGTAAGCTCAAAAAGGACAATTTCTGAGGAGACAGAAGCCCTAAACGTACCTAAATTTTAAGCCCCTCTGTAGACATGGCTGTTGCCATGTTATCGAAGCCACCTAGGCTATCAGGCCAAAATTCACTTGCACAGCCTCCCGTTTTCAAGTCTGCTCTGGCTTGGGAAAGCTCACCATGGAAAATCACTGCTCGAGAGAGTGGCTTTTTACTCTTCAGGAAACTGACTTTGCATGGTGCATTATTTTGTACTCATTAATAGTTCTTAAATGGTGCGCTGAGGATGTGCACAGGGTTTTGAATCGTATTTGGATTTGTCTAGGGGGCACAAATGAGATATAACAGAAATCAGATCCAGGCCTAAAATAAGTTTAATGCACATGGCCTCTCCTTTTCTGTTCCCTTTAGTTTGATGTCATAAAAAAAAAAAAAATCTATATTTGGAAGGCGCTCTGAGCGGAAGATGTTGTAACAAGCAAATGCTTTTGATCATTCTGCCATGAAGATCAAAATGAAGAGGTGAAGGAAGAGGGCCTCCAGGGGACATCTTGGTCGAATGCTTCAAGGTTAAAGAGAATTACCAAGGTTTCCTTTTTCAGGTCGCAAAATTTTCCTGAAACATCTAAAGCATTATTAAAGGATGCAGATTATCGCCATAACATGGCCTAGTTATAGTAAAGTTATATGGAAGAGCACGAAGGAAAATCATTGGGGATAGTCCCAACCTTCACATTAAAAATGTCTTAATTCTCATCCTCCTCTGGAAGGACAGCTGTTAAAAACACTGGAGTTTTGAAATGAGAACATTTTCAAGAATGGAGAGTAGTGAAAAACAGAAAAGAAATAATGAGGAATTCTGGATGGTCATCTTATAGATTTATATATGAAAGATTACTTTTTATATAGTCTATTTTATGTTGGTCCTGTTGAAATATATTGGTTTGCAATGTTTACTAGGTAGTGTTGAGGATACAGTGTTTAGATAACATGGTTTGCTATAGTAATCTGCGAGGCGAAAGGTGAAAAGGCACGGAAATCCATGAAGCTGGACTTGAATCCCAGCTCTATCATTATAAACTTTGTAATCTTGGGCAAGTAACGTGATTCTCTGAACCTAAATTCTTCCATCTGCTGAAAAGGGGTTGTAATAAGGGATAACATGACATATGCAAAATATACTATGGCTATTCAATAATATTATATTTCTTCCCACCTTCCTTGTAAATATGTCGATTTATCCTGATGAAAATGTCTGAGTCTTAGACTTTTAGCCTAAACAATAAAAATTCACCAGTTATGGGGAGCGTCCTGATTAAAGGGAACTCCCCATTCACATGGCAAACAAAGAGAAACTACTGGGATGCATTCTTTTTCAACATATTATTTGGTGACATATCTTAAGCTATAGCATTGGTGTTTTTATCATGCTAAGACTGAAAATTAATCTTTATTTTAAAAAATGAGATTCTATCATTTTCTATTTCTTGGAGCTACTAGGAAAGCCCCATGAAAAAGTCTCAAGTAGGAGATTGCTACAAAAGATGGAACTGAACATAATCCATATACTGTAAAGACCCAAGTTAAACGGGGACCTGAGAAGCAAGTACCCTTTTCACATTTGCAGGAATAAGTACGGATGGAGCCAAATGGCTGCTTCTGGGCTACAATCAACAGACTGTCTTCGTATTTGAAACCTGGGTTCCTGTCAAAGATGCTCATTCTGATAACAAGATGAAAACACTTCTTGAGAAATCCTCCATACCAAAGAAATTCAAATACCAAAGTCTCTTATCACCTAGGGCAGTGATTTTCAACCTCTTTGATCTGATGGCACACATTAAATAATTATTAAAATTCTGCAGCACACCAAAAAAATATTTTCTCCTGATCTGACAAAAAAAAAAAAAAAATAGGTATGATTTTGATTCATTCACACCATACGACCATTGTTGTGTCGGCTGCTGTCATTTTTTTTATTTGACAATCGAAGGGTAAAGAGGTCAGTGCCCCTGACTAAATCGTCAGGTACTGCATGTTTTAAAAATTCTGGGGGCACACCTGTTGAAAATCACCGCCTAGGAGCCTCTGCATCCTCTGCGCTGCCTGGCATTCCTGCTTCCATTGTTCTGTCCAAAGCCTCCTGTTCCAAAGCTATTCCAGTTGAACACTGTATCCAGAGAGCATTTTCAGAGTAGGGGAATAGTCTCCCCCAAATTACTCTAGGCAGCACCAAGCTAAACACAGTGCCAGAAATGGATACATTATACTCCACAAAATGCGTGATTAGTCAATAGAGAGAAAAAAGTCACACACCGCCGTCTTCCACAGAAAAGGAGAACATGCTATTGTAGAAATGATGATACCATGTGAAAAGGTTAATCATAGTCTGGCAATTGCAATGTTGGATGCAAACCTACTTTTGCTGAGGCTGTGAGTTTCCTTGATTAGAAGCCCTGTTCCCTGCTGGGACCTTCTCCAGCACCAAGACATCTTGGTCATGTTCTTTAAGTCTGACTGTATTCGCCTCAACGTCCTGCAAATACAAATTATACCACATACAGATGCTGCCATTTTCTCAGACAATGAAAAAAATTTCAAATGCTTCAGAAACTCATTTGGTGCTTGTGATGCTAATTGTTGTGTCTACAAATTAAGTCATTTTCAAAGTCAAGGGCTGGAATGGTCAGAGAGAGGAGCAGATGAGGTTTAGGCATGTGGTTTTAAAGCTCTACTTTTACTCCAGATTCAGAAAATCAGCAGAGTGAGGAGGAGTGTGGCTGTGCTCTGAGGAGCCCTTGCAAGAGGATGGTTGGCAGGAAGATAAGGGAGCAAAGCATTTATTCTTTATAAAATATGCGGCAAATAGCACTCAGCTTCAACGAAGTTCTTCCGTTCTAATTTTCTTCCAAGGGTATTTAGTTTTCTTAGGAGTTACACTTTTTCTCTCTAATTGAAAGACTATTTACTTTAAAAAAAACAAAATCAGTTTGTAATGTGTTAAAAAACATTTTTCAGATATTTTGAATAATTTTATAAATCACATCAATGATCATGGTTCTAATGTGATTCTTTCAAAGAGTTTTGGTTTGTTTTTTTTTGCTAAATGTAAAGTTCATATGTGCAAACCTGAAAGAGTTAAAGTTTACCTCTAAGTTTCAATGTCATTTTAAATAATTAATTTAAAAAATATAATGTGCTTTTTCTCATCTTTTGGTCCCCATTTTAGAAGAGAGTAGATAAGAACCAAGGCAAATTCCATGTGGTATTTCTTGTATTGTTCAATGGTATGCATTCCACGGTATAGTTTTTAATTGAACTTTCTTTGCCTTAAGAGAATACATTCCTAAGACAAATTTTGATGTCAAAAATTTTGCCACCAAAGGCAAATATTTAAGGCTGTGTAGTGGTAGGTGTCTGTACATAAGGAATGGAGAGTGACATTGTAAATGATCCCTAAATAATGTCAAATGTACCAGAAAGCATAGAAGCTGCATTTTGGGCCTTCAGGTAGTGTGCACGGAGATGCTAAGGGTGGGAGAGGTAGAGAAGAGAGTGTTCTGTCAGCCGGCAGGGAGAGAACAGAGCAAAGTGATCCTGGAAGGAACAGTGCCTCTGGGTGAACTCAGGCTGCGGCGGGGGCAGGGCTGGGGGTGGAGAATGAGCCACCTGAGAGCCCAGGGAAGACGGGACACTGTCCTCACCCCCAACAGCCCATCATCAGGCCTCTATTGGCTAACGCTGGGTTGTTCCTCCCAAGGGACTGGGCCTGCATGGTGGGGAAAGCCCAGGAACCACTTCTTCTAAAAATCACCCATTCTCACAAATGATTTACCAAGATTAAAGTAGGCCCATCTGCAGAGCCAACTTTAAATGCAATTATTCGTCCCCTACTTGCCAAAGTCCAAAATTCTGTTAGTGTGAATCAATTTGACATCAAGCTCTTGAAATAAAAATGCTTGATTAGAGTAACCATGATTAACACCAATTCCCCCTAAAATGTCCATCACTCAATAAATCAAGAGAGTATGTGATGTTGAAGAAAGGTTCAGGTTCGCAAGAGTTTGGAGGTGGAGACTAGGAAGGTTGAGGATAGAGAAAGACATGAGAGAGGAAGGACACGAAAGTGGAAGCCTAGGACTGCAAAGAGAAACATCACTCTTTGACATTTGCCAAAGCAGTCCCCCTATGTCTTCAGTTCTCAGGGACTGGTCAAGGCATGAGCAGAGCTGCTTGTCTCACGAACTGGCCAAGCATAGCATGCTGCACTTGCAGCTTCCCCGACATCCCCTCTGGACCCCCGAGGGCACCAGCACGCTGCACACCCCAGGCCTGGGACCTAGGCTTTTGTTCCTAGGGCCTTCCTTCATTACAGTGCTGCTCAGTCACATGACACTCAGATCTTCTGTTAATCTGGCAAAAAGGAAAAATGGGATGCCCCTCAGCCACAGTGTGCCTTGGACTCACCCGCAGTATCCGGTTGAAGTCCTCCTTGTCTACTCTTAAGAAATGGCAATTATCTTCTCGCAAGACGATCGAGGCGGCTCTGGGGGCATCGTTCACTAGTGCCAACTTGCCAAAATCATCTCCTTCGTGCAGGGTGCAGACCACACCCTGAAGAGAGCAAACATTCCGATGAAGATGATCCTGAAACAGAGCCAACACCCACCAGCCTCCCACCACAAGAACCCCTCTCCCTTAACACACTGTATGTATAAATGGGCTGTACTCAGGGATGCCACGGAGGAGTTAGATAATTAAATTATAATGTTTAATTTTTCTTTCATTGAGTAATATGGGCTATGGAATAACTTAAATGTATATAATCTATAAGGAGATGTGCCCCAGAAAGTTCAATAGTACTCTGAGTATAATAATTTAGATAATTTATGATTAGAGATGCTATAGTGACTTTTCTACATTGAGTTACAATGTTGTTGCAAGTTTAATTGTAGCACTGCATTGTTCATACTTAGAGCCATACTAGTAAATGGAGCATAATAAAGATTCAAAAAGAAAAACATATATATACCTTGCCATAAATGACTACATTCACTGATCCTTTTAGAATAATGTACCAGGAGGTACCTTCTTCTCCCTGGTTAAACACTAGACACAAAAAGATGAAAAGACTTACAAGAATAGAAGCACATCAATATAAATTACAGCTTATCAAATCATCATTTTTAAGTTCCCAGAATTACACATTTATTCCAGAAGGAAAAAAATACTGGCAAATACTAACTTATTCAGGTGGAATATTATTTCTTTTTCTATGGAACATAGCAGGAACAGAAACACTGTTCTGCTTTCTACTCCCTGAAAGGTCCTTTTTGTCAGGCAACACACTTTCACCCACAATTCACCAAAACTTATCATGTTATAAAAAAGTTTTTAAAAGTAATCTGACCAGAAATGTGAAATAAGTAGCAAACCAGTGCTACTTATGTTTATGGATATGTATGTCTACATATTTTTTTTAATGGGTTGGAATGATACCTGCTACATATAGAAGTCACCTTGGGGAAGGAAAGAGAAGAATAAGACAAAGGAGGAAACAACTGTATCTGTAATTTCATTCTTTAGAAAACATGAAAAAAATATTGCGTGTTAGTGTTTAATAAAGATTAAAAAGGTGCTTGTAATAACCTCTATTATTTGTTTGAAATATTTAAATATTTCATAATAAAATCAAAACAATCAGTAAGTTTGCATGAAAAGAATAAAAGACAAGTTGTAAATCACCAGTGATAAAAAAATGAAGTACTAAAGCAAACCTTTAAAAATGTCAAGAAAGGCCATTTTTACTAAAATAAATATCAGTGTTAGAGATACCATTTTTGACGACTGAAAAACATTTTGAACTGTAATTTTTATAACTCTTTTTGCATTTACAATTTTTGCCCCCTGCTTATTTCACTAACATAACTCAGTCTGAAGAAAGACTTTTCAAAGAATGTCTCCTGAAACATTAGTAGGTATGCATTAAACAAGTGTTCTATGTTTCACTAGGTTTAGGAAATGCAGGTCTAAAGGGAGTGAGCGTTTCCCTTTGTTGCAGAACTTCTGAGAGCCTTAGCATGGTGATGTGTACAATTCTCCCGGAGACATTAGAGAAGGTGGCATTTCCTGACCTCAGTAGACCACTAACCCTACTTTTCAAAAAGGACGTTGCAAATTAGTGGAAAATGCTAGCCTGAATAATTTTATGCACCTTTATTGATACCAAATTTCACTTTTTGCTTCCAAATATAATCATAGAAGTAAGTTACAATCTGGATTCTGGAGAGATCCTAAATATTAGTACTGTGTAAATATTTGGGTCAAAGAAATTCTTTCAGGCTTGGAGCTGACAGTGGAAGTGAGAGAAGAAAAAGAAAACAGGATCGTTTATCATTCTAACTAACAATTTCAAGAGATGGATTACTTCTTCTAAAACTGCCAACTGGAGTAATGTCACTGTGAAAAGGTCCTGCCCGCAGAGCAGTTTCATCCCACCCTCCTTAAACGCTGCCTCCAGAGGGGGCGGGGTGGGGGTGGGTGGGGGTAGTGGAACGGGCTGAGCAGAGACACAGATTGGCAACTGCTCCCACGGTGGTCCCAGGAAACCACTGTGCTGCAGAAAAATGGACACTCGCTGGGAACGATCGCAGGTCCAGAGCAACAAAAGTACCACGGGACATCTTGCCAAGCCTGCCCCAGGCCTGAAAAAGGGGAGGACTTGTAGCCAGGCTCCCGTGACACATGCTTGCGAGGGGGTCAAGCAGGTGCAATGTCCGATGGCAGCTTTTACTTACAGACAGTGCCTCCTTTGGCATGAGACTCAAAAATGAGAACACCTGCTAACTCCCGTTTCACCTAGGAGAAAAAGAGAAGGAATGTGGAAAGGCCAGATGTTGGGGAGGGGCGGGACAGGTTTCCTTTTTGAGCAGCTTACTGGTACCCTTCTTCCCTACCAGTCACCTCCATCTCTGCTTGCTCTTAGTGGCGTCTAGACCCACTTTCACTGGATTTGCCACTATATTCTTAAAACTCTTACAAAGGCTCTTTCTTAAGCTAACTCATACAAGACCAAGAGACCGTTTGAAAAGTGGTTTCATCTATCTGCAGGAGCCGATTTCACTGCCTATCTTTTGTCTTGGGTGAGAAGGTGAGAGGGTCTACAATATCCTATGGCTGTGTTGCTCTTAGAGGCTCTTCCCTGCATACCTAATGCATCACTGTGAACATGTTGGAAAATTCAATGAGCTGAAGTTGAATAATTAAGATTCAATGTATGAGCGGATTTATATTCCAAGATAGCTAAGAAAAAAAACAACAATCTTAAATTCCAAATTATGGTCCCAAATCATGGCTCAGTCTCCCTAAGAACCAAGTAACCTGTGACTTTCCCACAGTGCCTGGGTATCTGTGGTTTGAGGGAGAAGAGGAGACTATTCACAATCCACTCAGTTCCATCAGGACTGGGGAAGTCAGAACAGGAGAACGCTGGGGACCTGGCGTATAGGTAGGGAAAGGGGTCTTCCCTTGCCTCCTCTGCAGTGGGAACCCACGGTGCTTACATTTGCTGGGGCTCCCCCAGCAAGGCTCCCAGGCACTAGACCTCCCTCCCTCCCCTGAAGGATTAAATGACAATGACAGGACAGTGCTGGCTGAGAAGGGCAGCTGGGCCGGACCATAACCCCCAGTTCCTCCACGTAGGTGAGCAAGCATCTGGACCCCCAGCAGTGCAGTGGGGAGAAGTGTGAAGGCAGCTCTGTTGGTTGAAGGGGGAAGGGTTTGGAGCCCTCTGCTTGGGGCTCTGACAAATGCCTCGCTGCTCTCTGCAGAGACCTGAACCCTTCCTGCAGACAGGGACCTCAGAGACTGCTACCACATGACAGCGTAGTAGCTAACTCATACAAGGCAAATTAGGAATGCAGATGTTGCCGAGGGGCCTTGGTATAGAATCCGTGAACACTGAAACAACTCTTTATTATTATTATTGAATTATCAGCATATTAGGAGATGTGTGTTGCCTGGAAATCCTGTTCCTATGTTCCTTCTGTGGGAGGAGGTGTTTCTGTTCCTATTCAGAGGCCAAATTTTTGTCCACTACTTTCCTAAATATCCTAACCATGTAAAAGTTTAGAGTCAGATACAGCCACTGGACAATTTTTCACTGCTAGGAACTGCTGTTGTGCTCTAACACATCTGAAGTAATGCTCTCTTGAATCTTCTCCTTCATTTTTCAATAGGGCAGCAAATCTGGGCAAAGCTGGCCACTTGGGCCAGGACAGATCATCTTGATTTCTCTTCGTCTCTGTATTTCATGGAAGGGTCTCAGAGCCCTTTTTTAAGGCCCGGTTTTTTTGTCTAAGTGCAGGTTCCAAGGTTCAGATGAGGAAAGATAAAGCAGATGTTCAATCCTACTCACATCATACTGTGTTGGGTATTAGGGCACGTGGCAACTACTAATGATATGACAATATGTGATCCTGTTATATTGATAGTTCTTGGGTATAACTTACTTAGCATCTCATGAGAAAGACTAGGGATGATTTATGAAGTAGAATTCAGACATTCCTGCCCTTCATTCCATAACAGACTCCTCCTGTTCTAACAGTGCATTTAACTCAAAGTCCCCCAGCCATGCTTAGTAATGAACAACTTACGGTGGTAGAAAGATGGGATAAGGCTTTAATGTGAAGGAGCTCCTCATAGATAATCTCTAGGTCATCCATAGTCCTCTGGCCAGGTCTACAAAGAAAAAAGTAACAAGGAAATAATTATAAAAAAGTCATCACTAAAATTTGAAATGCACAAATGGATTCAAGAGTCAGTAATGTGTTGACAGATTTCTTAGAAATAACTTCTATAAAGAGATGTTGGCAGAGGGCGAGACTGTGCCTTTGTGCCAAAGGAATTTTTGAAATGAGTGTGTTCTCAGCGGAAGAATGTACACAGTCTCCCTTCCTTTCCATCTCAGGGGGAGAACCATCTCCACTCACATTGTATATAGTTGGCTACTCAATCTCTGACTTTGTAGATGGTTGCTCTTAAAAATGGCTTTTCATTATCTTCTCAGTCCATAACAACAAAACTTATCTTTTAACACAACTAGAAACAATTTATTTAATCAACAGGGTGACTGATCCAAATTCCTTGGGATCCTGTGTGACATCTTAGCCTAACAGAATAATAATGAGGCTGTCACTATGCTTCAGGTTATGTAATATGCTTCTACCACAGGACTTGAATAAAGGACGTATAGAGACTCAGTATTTTCTCGCCTATCCCTGAGTAGTTGAGGGCATGAGATGGGCAGAAGGCAAACAGTAATAGTTGGGACTAGAAAGAAAAGGGAGAGAGGTATATACTTACATTTCCTAATCTCTGTGTCATGGATGACCACTGTTCCATGAGGTGTTAATTAGTGTACTAGTTAACTTTCTTCCCCTATAACTTATATAACTAGTATCCAATAATCTGCCTTTCAGGGTAGGGTATGTGGATGTTATGGACATTTTGGTATGGGAGGACAGGGTGGATTCCTAATCATCTTTCATGTCTATAATTACTCTGGAATTTTTTAAAAAATTGGTTATTAATTCTGAGAGTGCCAGGAAGTCTATCTCCACAGGCAGCATTTGCTCTCTTCTACAACTAACTTCTACAATCATGTGTTTTACCTATTATATAATCATGAGTCTATTTTATGTATTTTGTCCTAAAATTTCAATAATTTATAGTATTACCATATGATGTCACTTATATAGAGAATCTAATGAACAAAATGATGAAAAATAGAAACAGAAGCATGGATACATGGAAGAGACTGACAACTGTCAGAGGGGAGAGGGGTGGGGAGCACTGGATGAAAGAAGGCGAAGGGATTAGACAAAGGACATATATGTATAACCCAGAGACACAGACGACAGTGTGGTAAAGGCCAGAGGGAAGGGGGAGCAAGAGCTGGGTGAAGGTAGACAAAGGTGGGAAGAAAATGGGGATCTCTGTAATGGTCTTCACAATAAAAATAAAGTTAAAAAACAAACAAAATTAATAATTTATGGTATTATTTAATGTTACTATATACTAAACACTTAAACTTTAAATTAAGGATGCCATTCCAGCCTTAATTACATTGTATTTTTATAAAATGTTTCTTGGGACATCCGGTCAAGATGGCAGCATAGGTAAACACGGCTTACCTCCTCGCACAACCACATCAAAATGGCAACTAAAATATAGAACAACCATCACTCAGAGCCATCAGAAATCAAGTCAAGTGGAAGTCCAACAACTATGGAATTAAAGAAACCAAATCCATTCAGACCCATTGGAGAGGTAGAACACGGAATAAGCTGGTCCCACATCACATGTGGCAGATGAAAATTCAGGAGGATATCTTGGGAGTCAGGAGTCCCAGATCCACATCAGGCCCCAGCCCAGGGTTCCAGTGCCAGGAAGATAAGTCCCCATAACTTCTGGCTGCAAAAATCAGCAGGCATTGAGTCAGTAGAAGAAACTTCTGGAATCCTAAGCAGTTCCTCTTAAAGAATTCACACACAGACTGACTCAGACTCACTCCCTCCGAGCTCCAGAACCAGGGTAGCAGCTTGAAAGTCACCAGGGAGTGGCATACAAGGAGAAACTGAAGTGTCTGGCATCAAGGCAAGAGCTGGGGGACAGCTTTCTCCCAGGCAGAAAGGCAGATACAGGTCAATGTTCTTTTCTGAACCCTCCCTGCACAAAGCCACAAAGCAGGAAGACTGGTATCATATCTGAAGACTTCATCAATCTGGTTAACACTGTTTGCTTTGCCCTGGAGATCCCCTGAGACTCTGTCCCATTCAACTTAAGGGTCCATCCAAACTTCTTTTACATATGAATGCCTGGTGTTGGCTCATGTTTCACAACTTCCTAAATCCTCTCAAACAAGCCAGCTTCGGTGATCACCCAGCCCATGTACCTCTTGTTAAGTGGCCTCAGGCCCAGCATTAGCAGTAGCCAGCCTTGGAGATCCATAGAGGTTCTAAGCCACCTAATTTACAGGGCCTACCCAAACTGCTTTTCCATAAGAATGGCTGTTTTTGGCTCCTAAATCCTACCAAACAAGCAACAGCTGGCTTCAGTGAGTTCTAGCAGCAGCCAGATTAGAGTCACAGCTTGGCTTCACCTGGGAATCTCCAAGCCCAGCACAAGTAGCAGCCATCTCACATTGCTTTACAGCTCAGGCAGGGTGCCCTGAGCAAAACGCAGGTGGGGGCTGACCTTGGTCTGCACCACCCAGGAAACCCTAAGGCCAACCCACCCAGTGGACAGCTACAGACCACATCAGAGCACCACCACCCTGCCTCTGCACAGCTGATCCTCCACAGAGGGTGGAGGTTGGTGGTAAGTGGCCACAGCCAGTCCTTGCAGCTGAATCGTCAAGGTAAATCCCTCTCATTGACCCTTCAACAGCAATTAAGACTCAGCTACAAGAGGAGGTGTACTCAGTCCACAGGAAGGGAGTAACTCGAGTATCCAGCTACACCTACTACATTAGGCCACACTACCAAGCCAAGACATGGAGTCAAAGCAGCTTTACCTACTACATAGAAATAAACACAGGGAGGCTGCCAAAATGAGGAGATAAAGAACCATGGCCCAAATGAAAGAGCAGATCAATACTCCAGGAAAGGAACTAAACAAAAAAGAAATAAGCAATTTATCAGATGCAGAGTTTAAAACACTGGTTATAAAGATGTTCAAGGAACTTAGTGAGAACCTCAACAGCATAAGAAAAATCCGGTCAGAAATTGAGGATTCACTAATTGAAATAAAGAAGAATTTGTAGGGAAACAACAGTAGAGTGGATGAAGCTAAGAATCAAATCAGTGATTTGGAACATAAGGAAGCCAAAAACAAGCATGTGTAAGCAGCCTGTGGGACAATTTCAAGTGTTCCAACATTCGCATCATAGGGGTGCCTGAAGAAAAAGAGAAAGAACAATAAACTGAAAATACATTTGAAAAAATAATGAAAGAAAACTTCCCTAATTTGGTGAAGGAAATAGACATACAAGTCCAGAAAGAAGAGATGCAAAGAGGATCACACTAAGACACAACATAATTAAAATGCCAAAGGTTAAAGAAAAAGAGAGAATCTTAAAAGCAGCAAGAGAAAAGCAGTTAGTTGCCTGCAGGGGAATTCCCATAAGACTGTAGCTGATCCCTCAAAAGAAACTTTGCAGACTAGAACGGAATGGCAAGAAATATTCAAGTCATACAAAGCAGGAACCTGTAGCCAAGGTTGCTCTATCTAGCAAAGGTATCATTTAGAAATGAAGGGCAGATAAAGAGCTGCCCAGACAAGAAAAAACTAAAGAAACTCATCATCACCAAACCATTATTATATGAAATGTTAAAGGGACGTACTTAAGAAAAAGAAGATCAATACTGTGAATAATAAAATGATAATAAATACATATCTATCAACGACTGAATCTAAAAAACTAAGGAGACAAGAACAGAGACAGAATCATGGATATGGAGAGCGTTTTGATGGGTGCCAGAAAGGAGGGGATGCGGGGGACTGGGTGAAGAGGTGAGGGGATTAAGGAGTGCAAATAGGCTGTTACAGAATAGCCACGGGGATGTAAAGTACAGTATTGGAAGCAGAGTAGCCAAAGAGCCTCTACACATGACCCATGGATGCGAACAATGGTGCGGGGATTGCCTGCGAGAGTTGGGGGGGGGGTGCTGGGTGGAGTGGGGCAAAGGGGAAAAAATTGGGAAACTGTAAGAGCATAATCAATAAAATATAATTAAAAAAAAGTGTTCCTTGGTCAAATAACTTCAGGGAGCGTTGGTATACTAAACACAGCACCGGACTTCGAGTCTGAAGATGAGGTTTCAACCGTAGTTCAGCCCTCACTAGTTGTGTGACATCAGAGTCCCAGTCCCATCTGTAAATTGGGAACATGCCTTCCTGGGACAGATGTGAGAGCTAAAGGAAGCAGTGAATGTGAAGGCACCTGCATTTTTACTTGTGTAAGTGGGAAAAAATACCCAGCAGAATGATGTTCAAACTTCAAACCTTTGCATAACAAGTTAAACTGACAAAGTACAACATTTGGGCCAGCAAATTACATCTGAAATTTAGTCAATTATAGATAAGTACTCTGAGCAATCAAAACTGAATTGCAAATATTCTAAAATAGTTAATTGGATTAAATAATTTTGCAACCATTTATAATATGGGGTAGATGACAGATTAACTGCGGCTAACTGGGGGAGGAAAACTCTTCACACACCTTGCATATAACCTTCCCAAGGACAGCTTTAATATGAACAAAAGAATATGATATCCCTCTCTTACAACATCAATGGAGAATATACTTCCTTACTTTGACTATATGAAGACAGGTACTGAGTCCATGACCTAGGGATTTGCCAGCCAGGTTTACCTCCTGCCAAGGATCCCATTGCATCAATCCAGTACTTAATGGTAGAACTCAGAAAGCATGGGACCCAAAACGTACCAAAGGAAAAGCTATGGGCACAGGGCGCTGAAGGAGCCAGGCCTTCTTAGCAAGGGGTCTAATCTACCACTTGACTTAGACATGGGATTTTGCAGTGAGGATCCGTAGGGATTTAAGAGTCAATTGAGTCACCTCAGTCCATCTGCTACGACAGGCAGCTAAGGTGAAAGTCTCAAGGAAGGCATAATAGGATTATGGCTCTTCAGCCCAGGAGCCGCCCTGCTGTTCT